TTGAAACACCTTCAGAGTTTTTCTCGCTCGAGAGATTATCACTTTCTTTGATCGTTTTGAACGAATAAATTCTCTCTTGTGATCGAGGGGTTTCTGGAAGCTCATTTCAGCTAACCAGACTCCTTAAGTTGCCCCTTACTTTACTAGTTTTCAGAAAATCTGATATAGGTATCTCAAGTGTCTTCTGGGTTATTTCTGCTCCATTCTTTCTTAGACCTATGGGCCAATCTCGAATTACATCCATGGAAGTCTTTTGATTCTCTTGCGCCCGATATTCTTTATAGGATTTGGTCACATTAGTCTCTATTGAAGCAACGATTTCTGAACATTGAACCTTCACCCATTCTTTTACCTTATATTTTTTAATTGCTTGCTCTAAAGGATCTTGGAAATTTCCCTCAAGGTTACCAGGAACCTTAGCTGAACAATTTGAAATTCCAGTCTGATTTATCCAAGGAACCTTCTTATAGGTCCAAATCTCATTTGGAGGCCATTGTGGTGGAACAAGTCTTGGAGTAGTTAATCTGGCTGAGAGCATTTTTGAATGTTGTTTTTCACTTGAACAATGGAATGGAGGAAATTGAAAACCCTGCACATTCTTTTTCTTCTTGACCACTTTATAAGGTTTGGCACCATGTTTAACTGAATAAGACCTCGTTATATTAACCTCAGCTTCTTTCTCGACGTCAGTATCGTCAGAGCCACTTATCTTGCCATTCTTGATAGCTATTTCGATCATTTCTCCAATCATGATGATGTCAGAGAAATTATTAATGGCAGCCCCTATCATGTGATTAATATAGGGAAATTTTAATGTACTGATGAACAAAGTAGTGAACTCCCTTTCAGTCAATGGTGGATGCACTTGAAAAGCGGCGCCACTCCATCGTTGTGAATACTGTCGAAAACTTTCATTGCACTTTATATTCATGTTTTGCAACATTGTTCGATCAGGGGCCATATCAGCCATGTGCTTGTATTGACCCAAAAAGGCTTGAGCTAAGTCCCTCCAAGAACGTATTTGAGTACGTTTTAGCTGATTATACAATTTGGATGCAGACCCAGATAAACTGTCTTGGAAATAGTGGATCAATAACTTTTTATTCTCCATATAGCCATTCATACAACGACAGTACATAGTGATATGATATGAAGGGCATGTGGTCCAATTATACTTCTCAAAATCTGGAACTTTGAAATTTGGTGGGAGAACTAGGTCGGGGACCAAACTTAGCTCTTTGGCATCCAACCCATAAAATGACTCAATCATCTCTTTAGAAGCAGTACAAAATTCATTTGGCTTTAATCCAGAAGTAGTAGGACAAACAATACTCAAGCCTGATATAGTGAGTTCTTAACAGTGAAATGAATCGGTGATTGAATTTCCTGATGTACAGAGGTTTGCTCAGGAATGTGAACAGGGGTAACACCCAGAGGATTTGTGGGGTTTTCAACAAGACTCTTTCTAGTGGTCTGGTGCTTCCCAATCATTTCTTTCATATTGTCCAGTAGATTGGTATGAGAATTTGCGATATTAGCTTCAATTTGTACCAACTTGCTACTCAATTCTTCATGCCTCTCTTTTTTGCTTTATCTCAAATTTGGCTAGCCTATCCTCAGTTTCTTTAGTCATTTTTCTTGTGTCGTGCTAAGTGTTCTTGCTACAAGGAAGAACCAATATCACTTTGGTTGAAATCCTTGTTTTAATGAATGAATGTTTTAATGCATGATGTAAGTTTCAAAATATAGATGTAACTAAGCAACGATGCAAATGCAAATACAACGATGCAAAAATAAGAATGCAAATTGTGCGCTACAAAAGCAAACAACAAATGCAAAATGAAAATGCAAAGATGTAAAATGCAAATGTATGTATGAAAAGGTGTTACTCAAGAGTGATCATCTTAGAACAGATTTCATTGAACACAAAAGTTTCTGTGCATCAAACAAAACTTTTACAGGTAGGGGACAATTTTTATTCCTAACTTCAACAAAACTTTACATATATGGGAATACTTTCCCATTTTCTTCTCTAAAGCCAAGTTAGTTTGTCAGCTTATGGGCCATATTTCTTGTTTGGACTGCAACTTCTTCCGTGACATTTTTTTCTTCATCTTCTGTATCAGTTCTCAGAGTTGCTCATTTTCCCTTGTAAGAGAACCTTTGTGTTCAAGAAGTTCTTGAACAAGGTCTTCATATAAGTTGCAGTTCTTTTTCAGCTTGGTGACCCCTGTTATCCACTCTTTTGGGGTACTTCCTAGGCCAGCATTTTGAAAGGCTTGACTGATCTTCTGAAAATCTTCATGCATGGTTTTCATTTCTGTGCTCAATTTCTTGTTTTGGTCGTTCAAGTACTTCAAATAACATGCTTGAGCTTCATAAAAACCTCCATTGCTCTGAATGCCCTGACTGATGTTCTTACCATAGACTGCTTTTGGTATCAATCTGGTAGGATCTTTGTGTAATACTTTTGGTATTAATATAACCGGTTCTCTATGTACAGAACTTCCATCGATCCTCATAGTTTCTTCAGGATGTCTTTCCTTAGCCACATCATATTTTGTTTGATCATAAAACTTTTTATCCATTTACGATTTCTTTCCAATTTGATGAACAGTCTTTCAAGTCAACACCTTTTGATTATGCCATGATTATGTAATGCATACAAAAGAATATAAACAAATTAGAGCAATGTAACATGCATGGAAAAATAAGAAAACAAAAATAGAATAATTAGTACCAATTAATGGAAAGAAAAATTCTATTTATCAAGGTATAAATCCTAACCTCATGCTTTCTAGTTCCATGCTTTGTTTAGAAAAATTAACCTAACCGCATCATTGCTAGTTTGCAGGCATTTATTAAAAAAATGAATAAATTAAAAGCTAGACCTTATTTCTCCTTTGTGTATATCTACGGACAGAGGTTCAATACTGTCTTAGATCAAGAGAATTTCTATGGTTTATTATATGCAGGGTTTCAGTTCTAGGAGTAAAGGTACTCGAATTATCCTTGTTGGTGCCCCCTTGAGCTGCCAACCCTCAATCCTAGTCCATCACAGACTAAAGTGGATCTAGTTCAATTCGAGGGGACACACTTCTCTATGTCTGACACGGAGATTAAATTCTCACGAAGACATAGAGCATATGAACCCCGAAAGCTACTTGCTATGTCTGACACGAAGAATAAATTCTCACGAAGACGTCGCTTTCACCCCCACTTAAAAGGGACAAGCTTGATTAAAAAACTTATGTTATGCATGTGTTGTGTTTGAGGAGAAATGTTCACCTCTGATAGTAAAATAAATAATGAACTAAAATACTTGAAAATAAAATGAAACATTAATAAAGTAATATACATATAAATATTATGAAAATAATAAGTATATATAAAAATTTTGAAAAGAAAGAATTAAAAATTAAATATATGAATTTTTAATTTTTAATTAATAGAGACAATTTATAATTGATTTTAAAGTTTGACAGTTCCCAGCGGAGTCGCCAAGCTGTCGTAACCAGTTTTCGCCGGGCACGAATTTTTTACTTGGCGGGAAAAATAATGTGGATAAAAAATAATTAAAAAAATATTTTGGGAGTCGTCATCGGCCTTTTGGGTCAGGTAGGTCGAATACCTAAAAATTACCTTTTAAAAGAGTTTTTTTTAAGAAAACATCAGTTAAAAGATAAATTGATCTGCGTTTAACCAAAAATTCGTTCTTTTTAGAAATAAAAAGGGATTCGTGGTTGGTTACGTTTAGGGAAGGAATAGCACCCCTACAGCGCCCAAAATTGGTACTTATTAATTATAAATTGTCTCTATTATTGGAAATTTAAAAGTTCAAAAATATATTTAATTCATAATTCTGTTAAGTTTATTAATATAATTTTAATATAATATATTAAATATATATATTTTATTAAACAAGATATTTATTTATTTAGAAATATCAAAAAAGAGTTTCTAGGTGCTTTAAGACAGCTCCTTTCTTAATATTAAAAAATAAATAAATTTTAATAGAAAATAATATAAAAACAGATTTATATATTAAAATATTTATTTTTTATTTAAAAATATCAGAAAATGGACATCCAGTTGCTTTAAGACTGTCATTTCTTAATATTAATAAATATATATTAAAATATGATTGAAATGATTTAAAAATAATATATTAAATTTATAAATAGGATTTTCATAAAATAAATAAATATTATTTATATATAATTATAAGACTTAGATAAATATTATTTATTTATATATATATATATATATATTGACATAAATAATAAATAATAATAGTAATACTAATGATAAATATATATAATCATAAATATATGAAAGTAAAATATGATTAATAAAATTAAAACATAGTATTAAAATGTAAAAAGTAAATAAAGCTTGTAAAATAAATGAAAATATTAATCTTAGGGACTAAATTATAATCTAATAAAATTAAATACCTAATTTATAATTAATTATTTAAAACTACAGGGATTAGATATGATATTTTATCAATTTATTAATTTAGGGACTAAAATAAAATTATATAAAACATCAGTTATTAAATGTAAAATATTAAAATTCGCAGACCTAATTCGAATTATTAAAAAATATATGTATTAATAGTGTAGTTTGACCTAATTAATAATTAGGGATCAAAATAAAAGTAATTAAAATTACCAGGGACTAAATAAAGTATTTATCCTAAAATATATAAATACTGGCATGGACTAAATTATAAATTAATAAAGTTAGAAGATTGTATTAAAACATATTAAAATTGATTTCAGTGACTAAATTGAGAACATTACAAACTTAGAAGGGTTGCGGAAAGGGTTTTACACTTTACCAAATTACACACAGACCCCTCCCCCAAAACGACGTCATTCGGGGAGGGGTTTTTAAGCCCAAAAACTGGCCTAAAATGGTCGGTCTCCCTCATTTCCTTGTTCTGCTTCTCTCTCAAAAGAGATAGAAGCTCTGCCTTCTCTCTACAAATTCCCTCACCGGAGGGATAAGGCCACCGGACGACCACCATGCTCCGGCTCCGATTCCTGCCGCCGGCCACTGTTCACGGTGGCCGGAGTTTGGAAAAATAGCCTAAATCGATCCTCTGTTTCCCCTAAACCCAAATCTAGTTTCTTTCTCCTAAAACTCTTTCAATAGACGTAGATCTAAACAAAAACCGAAGGTTTACCTCGGTTTACAAAAGTTTCCGGTGACGTTTGGTATCTCGGGGGTAAGTTCTTCTATTCTCTGTTTTTATTTTCGATTGTTGATGTTTGTTGTTAGTTGCTGTGTTCTCGTTGCTTCTCTGTTCTCTTTTGTTGTCTCCCCTATTCTTCCTTTTTTCTTTGCAGGGGATGGTGGTTTTTATAGCCACCATCGGTGATGGCTTCAGACTGGTACCAAATGGCGACCCTAGGTGAGTCACCATAGCTATGGTGGTGACTCACCATAGAGCCTGTTGTATGGAGGGGCAGCTGGCCTTCTGAAAAGCAGTGAGGCTTGAGGCGTGGCACAGCAGCATCGGCAAGGCGGCTGGAAGTATTTGGAGGTGGCAGATGGGGTCTTCTAGAAGCAGCGGCGGCTGGGACGTGGCCCTAGGGTTATGATACCCTAGGGTTTCCTTGTTGGGATCATCTGGGTCGTTGGATCAAAACTAGATCCAACGGCAGCAAGTTGAGGCGGCTGGATGATGATATGTAAACCCTAACTGAGTCTAGGGTTACACATTTGGGCTCTGTTGGGCTAGTTCAAGTTGGGTCACTGTTGGGCCATCTGAATTGGGTCTGGAACTGTAATTGGGCCTCGATTTTGGCCTGTTTGTAATAATAATAATTTTAATAATAATAATAATAATAAATAATAATAAAATAATAATAATATTAACAATAAAAAAATGGATAAAAAATTAGTATCTTCATACTTTATACAATCGTCAATGTCATATATTGACATTTCTATCGGTTGGGGAAACCCAAATTGTCGCAAAACTCTATCCCCGACATGGATCTCAACAATTGCGAAATGGAGCAATGGTGTTATGGCACTCCATGTCTTCGCTCCTTCAAAGAACATTGGCGGTAGACACCGTTGGATATCCGACTCATAATAAGGCATCAAATTAAACTGTCAAGAGTATTATGTTTGTATAATTAAACAACTAATATTACAATTTGAAAGTTAATGCAAAAAATACGAAAATTTACTGCATGTCTACCAGCGATATCAATCCTCATCCGAATATCTACTTTGGTTGCACCCGACAACTTTGTATCGATTATTCGGTGTCGCCATCTAAAACAATTACGTTATTTATTGTCATTTTCAAAATATTTAAATAAATATGATAAAATATCAAAACTTTAAATATATGAATTTACCTTGCGGTGAGATGAAACTCTATAAGAGCGGATGTAATAGGCATCATAAACGGGAGACGATACCACGCCCATGATTGGAGCAAAACTAAACAAGCTGCTACATCCGCTTTTTTTCCTCTAACGACTACATTCGTCTTACATAGTTCACGATACAAAAATGGCAAAATTGCAAAACCCCAACTATATTGGCGACATACAGCGAAATCCTCCATTACCGAAAGATATTGGGTATGCACCAAATTGCCCGATTTATCCGGTAACAAGATCCCTCCAATCAACGTCATAAGATATGCTCGAGCTGCATATATTACCTCTTGCTCCGTTGATTGTTCATCTACTCTAAATTCGCTTTCCAACCACGTCATCTGTACTTGTAACCTATCAATGACATCGGATGGAGCCTTATTTCCCAATAAATTTAAAATAAGAACATTTACCTTATAAGTGTTGCAAAGCACCAATGGCATACCATTAATCGGAACGCCAAGTTGATACACGACATCTTCTAAAGTTATCGTCACCTCACCACAAGGTAAATGAAACGTATGTGTTTCAGGCCTCCAATGCTCAATCAACGCCGATATCAATGTCGGCATCACCTTAAATCCGCGAAGAAACTTCGCTTCATATAATTCGGATTTTCGTCATTCCTCGAGGACGAATAGCTTGTTCTTCTCGTTACAATTTGAAAATAAATTATTTAATACAATTACATAATAATAATAATATAATTTTGTCAAAACTAAAATGAAATAAAACAAATTAAACTTACCGCTGTCAATTGGATCGACGAAATATAAACATCACCAAGACGTAACATTTCTTCTCTTGAGCCCATTTCAACACAAAATCTTTAACACACAATTTTTTACTCTCAATAAAATGTTTGATTACAAGTGAAAAATCAATCCAACCAAACCTCTATTTATATTACTCTATCCAACGACTAGTTTTTTCAAACTGAAAATAGCCGTTGGAACTCGTCACACCGGCGAGAAGAGTTCCATTGAAATTTTAAAACAGATTCGACCGTTGAACAACGGTTAATCCAACGGTCAAAAAATCAAAATTATACTCGTTGGAACTCGTCACACAGGCGTGACGAGTTCCATGGGCATTAAAATATTGTTTTTTTAATTTTCTTTTAAAAAATTTCAAAATAATAAAAAAAAATTATTGGGACTCGTCACACCCTCAAGATATTTTAGATTTATTCTGACTATGGAGCCCACCTGACACGTCCCATTAAAAAATTATATCCCAAGGAACTCGTCATGCCGGCGTGACGAGTTCCATGGAGACTGTTGCAATTGCCGTAGCTCCCAAATTAAATGTTTGGGTGCCCTATTGGGCCAAATAATCCACCGGGTGGATTATTGGCCCAATTTGACCTTATATGGATGCATGTTTAGCAGTAGCAATAAGTGAATATTTACAAGCTTATAGCATTGTTTTCTATGAACCTGTATAACACAAACAAGCCAGTTAATTTACCTAATGATTTAGATTTAGAACTTTAAAACTTACAACACCCTATCTTGTTGATCTTTATATCAACTGGAAAAGATAATACAACTAACAGTTCATTTGCATGATATGAGCAAAATACATGCCTGCGAAATTTGTGGACTCACAACATTAGGCTTCAATGTTTCCCAGTCTTTTACACCAACATTAGCCTTCTTTGGAATAGCTTTCTGCTTCATCTGATTTTCTATTTTTTTTTTTGGAAAAAAGGATGTTATTGGAAAGAAATACAAAAACTAATTAGTAATGAAATTTACTGCAGCGGGCATTTCTGAGTAATATGTTCTACCTTTCTTGAAGCTGCAAATAAACAAAGAACGTGACATTGTCAGTTTGAGAATATCTTTTGCCATGAACACGTCTAGAATGTGAAGTTGAGCTCTAGACTCGAGATTGGGTGCATCAAGATAAAACAATGCAGAGACAAAAGGGAAACAAACTATACTTACATGGCACAGTTTTACCTTCTGATGTTTTCAACTCCTTGCCGCCACTAGAATTCACAGTGACAGGAACTTTGTTAGATTTCTGGATTGAAGCTCTTACTGTCCTCAAATAAATCAGCCTCAATACTTTCCAATGTCGAAGTTTCAGAATCCAACGTTGTCAATGAATCATAAGATTTGTTTACATCCTCTTGAACCCCAGGCAATGTTTGTATTTGACCTTTCTCATTGCCTCCCAGCATGCTAGACAACTCCTCCGGCTCCAGAAATCCTAAATTATAGAGTAAGAAACGGTATCAAAAACCAGAAATTTAGAATAATAAATGGTCTAATGCAAGTAATATCAACGAATGTGTACCTTCACTAGTAAAGAAAGCATTATCCCATGCTAAACTTTTGCGTAAATTATATTTTCCATTTTTACTTGTCTTGTTTTGTACTGAATACTCCGATTGTTCCTTTGCCTTTCCAGCTTCTTCATGGGACTCATAGGAGACTGATGAGATTTCAGTGCTCTCGGGATCCAACCGAACCTAAGGTGACGTTTGGTTCGCAGGAATCCCATAGAATTAGGGAAAATTAGAATCCAATTCCACCACTTTCTAATGTTTGGTTCAAGTTTTTAAAGGGAATTGAAATCTATCATGACTTCAACTTTCCATCAAATGAGGGAAAGTGAATTTCATCCATTCTATAATGGAATTCAATTCCCTTGTTGGAGGGAATTGAAATTTGATCATACTACCCTTATCAATCTTTTGGTAACTTATTTATATATTGAATAAAAATATTTTTTTATTATTTCGGGTTTGATTTCTAATTCATATATTTGGGTCGGGTCGGGTGAAACTCTATTTTGGTCGGGTCGGGTCAATTTTTTTAAGTGTGATATTTGGGTCGGGTCGAGTTCAGGTTTAGGGTGAAAAATACCCGACCCGACCCGAAAATATATATAATTTTACCTTATATATTTAGGAATAATTATAATAATACCCCTTTATATATAATTTTTTTTAAATTAAGTCACTGTTTTTATTGAATAAAAATAACTTTTTTATTATTTCGGGTCGGGTCGGGTTTCTAATTCATATATTCGGGTTTGTTCGGTGAAACTTTATTTTGGACGAGTCGATTTTTTTTAAGTGTGATATTCGGGTCGGGTTCGTGTGAAAAATACCCGACCTGACCCGACCCAAAAAATATATAATTTTACCTTATATATTTAGGAATAATTACAATAATACCCCTCTATATATAATTTTTTTTTTCCAATTAAGTCACAGCTTTTATTGAATAAAAATAATTTTTTTATTATTTAGGGTCGGGTCGGGTTTCTAATTCATATATTCGGGTCGGGTCAGGTAAAACTTTATTTTGGTCGGGTCGGGTCTCGGATGGAGGTTCCCTTATTCTCGGGTCGGGTGGACCAAAAACCCGACCTAACCCGACTCATGACCATCCCTAATTTGGATGATTTTAACTTATGATGTTTATTAGTATGATTTTTATAATTTATTGAAATGAATAATCAATCAATAAAATTAAAATTTAATATTTTTAAAATTTTTATAATATATTGCTTCATGTAATTTATAAAACAAACTAAAATTAAGCAAAAAAAACAAGAAGGACAATCTTGTCATTTTACATTACTGAAATCAAATTCATCTGACATGTCTACGAACCAAACAGAATATATAATTGGATTCCAATTCAATTTTCTGCCAACCAAACAGAATATAAAATTTGATTCTATTTCCTGACAGATTCTAATTTCTTCACAGATTATAATTCTTTCAGAAACATTCTAGCGAACCAAACGTCACCTAACAGTTTTGGTTTCACTTCCCTTCCCTTCCCTGTACAATACAAAAGCCAAAAAAAAATTGCAAAATAAGATTAATCTTCAACTTTGGCACCAAAAAGAAGATCAAAATAAAAAATAGACTTTTCAAAAAGAAGCCCGAATTATCTAATGTTAATAAGAAATTTCTTCCCAAAATCCGAAAGACCAAGGTAAATGTAACGAGAAAATGCTTCCAGAAGATAGAAAAAATAGCTTAACATCTACTGCTGCTTCTTTTAGCCAATTACTGATAATAACTAATAACTCGGCCGAAAACATTTTACATAAATTTAAAACATGATTAGCATAAGGTACTTTTTTTCTGTAAACAAAACTCAAAGAAGCTTTAAATTAAAAGATACTCAAATCAAGCAAATATAGCTATTTGTAACAGTGAAAAGAAAAACCCAGAAGAGTTGATTAAATTCCATGCAAACCTGATGATTGAGAAATCATCGGATCGCAGAGAGGCGAATTGATGAGGCAATGGTCTTCGGAGGAAACATCGATGATGCTTAGCTCTTTGATATTGAGATCGCTTTGCTTCTCAGAATCAAGCATTTGCAGAGAGAGATTAGAAACAGAGCTTAATCAGTTTAGTGAATTGAACAAAGATGGAGGATTGAAAAGCAAGACGACTGACGGACACGGAAACAAATAAAGGAAAAGTGAAAGATTTTGAATTTTGGGAGAAGAAGCGGTTCAAATTTAAATTAGTGAAGAGAATAATACAAGGAATGAGCGTCCATTTAACTCGGGTGTATGTTCACTGGAGCAGGTACTCATGTGTGTGCTCATCGGATTATTTGGACAGTTGGATCTAGTCCCATCCAATATAAAATATTAGAATTACAATCATAATTGATTAGGGTAAATTACAAATTTCATCAATCAACTTTTTTTTACTCTTACTTTGATCACTAAAGTTTAAAAGTTTTTATTTAGTCATTATACTTTTAATTTACTTTTATTTTGATCACTCTACCCTTAAATATTGACCTTTATTTTGATTGGACATTTTTCTTTGAAAATTATGAAAGGTTTACATCACAATTAAGTACCTAAAGTATACTCCATTTTTTATTTGAGTACCTAAAGTATTTTTTGGTCAAAATAAATACCTAAAGTTATATTTTTATTCAAAATAGGTACATAAAGTATTTTATATCAAAATAGGTACCTAAACTATTCAAACTTTTTCATCTAAAAAAGTTGACATGTGACTTTAATTAAATAATACTTTAGGTACTTGGATGAAAAAATTAAATACTTTAGGTCCCTATTTTGACCAAAAAATACTTTAGGTACATATGTTGACCAAAAATATAACTTTAAATAGTTATTTTAACCAAAAAATGCTTTAGCTACTTAAATGAAAAAGATGATATACTTTAGGTACTAATTTGTTATCTAAGTCATTATGAAATGATCCTAAAATTTTATTACTTTTGTGAGAGAAAAAACCCTTAATTTTGAAGGCTCTTTGATTTCTCGATGATGAAGTATTTTCTTTCAATTCCCAACGATGAGAAAGTGGAGAAGGAGGAAGTGAATTGTATATCTTGATTTCACGTTGATTGGATTATGGTCATTATAAATTAGATTGGTTTATGATTATACAACTTTTGAGTTTGTGAAACCATGACCCCAAAATATATTTTGGCTTGATTTGGGTGTTTATTTATGTCTAACTATAAGTTTCTAATTTGACTTGATCCAAATCTAATAGATCATAGTGTCACGCGAAATCACTGAAGTAAATTATTATACTTTTTTA